TGTTGCATGTGGGTTGGAATGTGTTATGGCTATTATTATTATTATTATTATTATTATTATTATTATTATTATTATTATTATTATTATTATTATTATTATTTTATCATTATTATTATTATTATTACAGTTATTATTATTATTATTATCATCATCATCATCAACACTTATTACGGGGAAGCAACAAACCTATACAGTTGACACTGAACCTGGGAAATGAGATGTCATCAGGTCTTGCCCAGGGAAAAGAGGGTAGCTCTATTCCTTGGATCAAGAGCCCCTCAGCAGTATCATGCCAATTTCCTTGAAGGAACCAGGTGTGTGTGTGTTTGTGTGTGGAGACTGACTACACACGTATAGGTATATTCTCTCAGCGTTTGTATGCTGATAGTATACTTTTATCCCTATTTTAGGTAATACAGCATTCTTATCTGGTGGTGAAAAGGTTACTTGCAACCTTAACGCCTTAGTATAGTCGATAGGCTTGAAACCCCCGTTATCCAACCAAAAGAGTCGTGGGTGTCTGTGGCGTGCGATTGAGCACACAGACAAATGGGCACAAGGACCACGCAATATAGAACAAGTCTGTGTTTCAGGCGCTGTACTCGCCTGTCTTCCGTAGTTCCTGTTATGGGTAGAGAAAGAAGCCTTCTGGACCTCCTGGAGCCCCTGTACTTAGCAGTCACTGCCTCACAGCAACGACTGCAAGAGTCACTGTCTCGCAGCAACGACTGCAAGAGTCACTATCTCGCAGCAACGACTGCAAGAGTCACTGTCTCGCAGCAACGACTGCAAGAGTCACTGTCTCGCAGCAACGACTGCAAGAGTCACTGTCTCGCAGCAACGACTGCAAGAGTCACTGTCTCGCAGCAACGACTCCAAGAGTCACTGCCTCACAGCAACGGTTGGGAGGATGATCTGTGACCAGCTTGGTTTTACACTAGAGGTGAAGGGGGGATTTACCAGTGCTCGAGATTAAGGTGATTTTCTGTACTCTGTTAATGGTTGCCGGGATTAGCGTGCCCGAAACAGGGTCTTTGACCAGGCCTCCTGAAATGGAGTATAAATGCTGCAGTTGTTGCAAAAACTTTCATGTGAGGGAGAGAGATGGATGGTCACTGTCGTATCAAACGTATCTTCTCTGTTTATTAAAATAAAATAGAAAAAAAACAGTTATAAACAGAAGATAAACATAGGATGCGTAAAAAATAGATCTTAAATGCATCTTTACTGCAATAAAAAATGTGGTACTAAAGTCTTATCTTAATCGAAAATGCAGTTAAGGTAATATGAATGATAACGACTGAGCAGGTGACCAGGTGACCAGGTGACCAGGTGAGATAATATTGACACTACTGACTAGGGTAGCGCGGCGGTGACAAGGGAGTGTACTATGCAGATTCAAGGCAGTAACACATAGGGTAGGAGGGGAAGGGGTTGATAATTCACCAGGATGCGGATGACCTAAGATACGGGGATGATGCAGCAACAGCCCTGATGATCCAAGGACTGGGTTCCGTAGAGACAGCTCTCATGACTCACGAAATCGTAATGACACGATTGCAAACAAACCACGGTACGGGTGGGGCTTGAACTCGCGGCAAGTGAATCGTAAAACTCGAGGCCAACGCTCTGCCGACCAGCGTAGTCAGGTACCAGGAGCAACGCAGAGGAGCCAAAATTGGCAGCAAGCCATACAACACTTGCTGAGACACCTGTAAATGAACTTACTCTTGACGATAGCGGAGAGCAAAGGAGGGTGGTGCTAGTGACGCCATGTTCAACGATTCTTCCTCTACGTTCGTTTAGCATGTTAAATGTTATGGAGATAACCTCGTGGTTGGACAAACTGACGCACTGAAGCAGTTTTCAGCTAACTGCCTTGAGGGGGGGAACTACTTGATTTGGATCACTTGACGTGGTTCACTTGACGTGGATCACTTGACGTGGATCACTTGACGTGGTTCACTTGACGTGGATCACTTGACTTGGATCACTTGACGTGGTTCACTTGACGTGGATCACTTGACGTGGATCACTTGACGTGGATCACTTGACGTGGATCACTTGACGTGGATCACTTGGCGTGGATTACTTGATGTGGATCACTTGACGTGGATCACTTGACGTGGTTCACTTGACGTGGATCACTTGACGTGGATCACTTGACGTGGATCACTTGACGTGGTTCACTTGACGTGGTTCACTTGACGTGGGTCATTGGGTCGCGACACGAGCCAGGAATATAAGTGTGAAAGTCTATAAACTTTTCACATCAAACACTGCAAGGAGCTCATGAAGCCGGAACCATGTGCACTGTCGACGAAGTGGAGAAGACACACACGCTGTAGAACCAGTGTTGATTGGGGACAACACTTCTCTGTGTGTAGAGATTTATCATGATTTGTTAGAGCTGTACACAAAGGAAAAAAACGCTACCCCCCCCCATCAACTCATCCAATTCCCTCCGTTAGAGATGATACTTGAGATTGCTTGCAGGGTTGTGTACCAGGAAGTTGACTGGGTTTGTACGCTACCACTGACGTCCATACATGACACACGCTACCATTGACGTCCATACATGACACACGCTACCACTGACGTCCACATATGACACACGCTACCACTGACGTCCATACATGACACACGCTACCACTGACGTCCACATATGACACACGCTATCACCGAGGTCCATATATGACACACGCTACCACTGACGTCCATACATGACACACGCAATCTCTGAAGTCCATACATGACACGTGCCACCAATGAAGTCCAAACCTGACACATGCTAGCATGGACGCGCCATCATTCTCAGGTGATAAGAGAGAGCATCATTCTCAGGGGATGAAGGATGATAACAACAGTGGCTGCAGTTCTTGCTGTGTACACGTGTATGTTTGAGTGTGTATGTGTGGGGAGAAATCTGTGTGCGTGTATCTGTGTCTACCTCTGTATGTGTCTGTTTCTCTGTCTGTCTGTCTTTTCCTCCTTGCTGCTCTTCTGAGTGAAGAGGCATATTAATTCTTGGCATATTTACCCAAGTCCTCAGACAACAACATTATCACTAATGAACATTATGGATTACACAGGTTTTAGTAGACAATATACGTGTATATTACTTCGAATATACCTATGTTCATATTGTCTATATTATAATGACTAGTATATATATATATATATATATATATATATATATATATATATTATATATATATATATATATATATATATATATTATATATATTCCATCACATAGCATTTTATCAACATTATATTCCATCATCCATCTGTCACTCCACTTCCTTAGTTTATCAAAAAATCTTCGTCATTTTTTCTCAGTTTTTGCACTATTATTTGCACCGTAATCAAACAAGATGTATCTTTAATGTTAATAGTAAGATAAACATTGTTTCATGTTTTCAACACGTTAAATAAACATACTGACGTGTATAAAACGCGAATTATATATCTCTGACGTCTATAACACGCGAAATAAATCTCTGATGTTTGTAAAACACAAATAAAATATCTCTGGCGTCTAAAACACATATAAATAGACGTCAACGACGTCTATAACATGCGGAATAAATACCTCTGACGTCTATAAGACGCAG